AACTTTCTTTGCTTTTTTAACTTCTTTTTAAGAGGAGCTACAGAGTCAAGTGTTGTTCGCAGTGAGCCTTGATGTCTCTTGGTGTCTCTTGATGTCTCTCAGTGTCTCTCGATGTCTCTCAATGTCTCTTGATGTCTCTTGGTGTCTCTTGATGTCTCTCAGTGTCTCTTGATGTCTCTTGGTGTCCTGTCTTTGTCCTGATATAGTCCTTCAGAATGTCTGCAGGTTGACACTCTGAGTGATGATGTAACTTCCTCAGAGGTTCCTGTGGTTTCTCTGAGGTCATGTGACTTTGAAGGAAGTTGACGTCCGTCCTCGTGAATCAGAGGCTTCCTGATTCCTCCATGTTGTGGTTTCTCATGTTGTGGTTTCAGGACGCGTTTGATTGTGACGAGTCATCGTGTTTGTTCTTTCATTTTCAGTGTCGGCGGCTTCTTGCTGAGATTCTTCAGTCCTGACTGTGACTCAGGATCAGAGCAGGTCGGCGGTTAGATCCCAGTCTATTCCAGTCTGCATATCCGTTCATTTCCTGTCTTCCACCAACATTAGACAGACACCAGTTTGCCTACAGGCAGAACAGATCCACAGAAGACACAGTAGCCACCGCCCTCCACGCTGCTCTGTCACATCTGGAGCAGCCAGGTACCTATGTCAGACTGCTGTTTATGGATTTTTCTTCTGCATTTAACACCATCCTCCTACACATGCTGGTGCATAAACTAACAGACCTCGGACTAACAGACTCCATCTGCCATTGGATTCTGGACTTCCTGTCAGACCGCTCCCAGAGGGTCAGGGTAGGCACCCACACCTGCTCCCTGCTCTTCACCTTGTATACGCATGACTGCAGCCCCTCTCACCTGAGCAACACCATCATCAAGTTCGCAGACGACACCACCATAGTCGGACTCATCTCTGGGGGGGACGAGTCTGCCTACCGGGACGAGGTGGAGAGGCTGACAGGATGGTGCAAGGATAACAACTTGGTACTCAACACAGCAAAGACCAAAGAGGTTGTAGCAGACTTCAGGAGGAAGAAAACAGCCATCCAGCCCCTGTTCATCAGTGGGGACTGTGTGGAGAGGGTGGCCTGCTTCAAGTTCCTGGGTGTCACCATCGAGGAGGACCTCACCTGGAGTGCTAACACCACAGCGCTTGTGAAGAAGGCCCAGCAGAGACTTTATTTTCTCAGACTCCTCAGGAAACAACAACTCTCTGAGAGCCCGCAGACAGGAAAGCTCTCCAGAGAGTCATCAACACTGCCCAGAAGATCATCGGCTGCCCTCTCCCCTCACTGGAAGAACTGTACAGTTCCCACTGCCTCAATAAAGCCAGGAACATAGTGAGGGACTCATCTCACCCTGGGCACCCTCTGTTCAAACTGCTGCCATCAGACAGGAGATACAGGACACACAAGTCAACAACAAACAGACTAAAAAACAGTTTTTATCCCAGAGCCATTGTTGCCCTGAATAATGTAATGAAGCTGCTAAGAACTTGCACAACAGCTGCAGGACAGTTGTTTGTGCGTGTGTGTGTGTGTGTGTGTGTGTGTAAGATGTATTTTTAGTATTAAGTCTAGTACTTATGTACCTTTATTTATTGCACCATGATTCCACTTAATTTCGTTGTACTCATACAATGACAGTAAAGATTCTATTCTATTCAAGTGTCCTCAGGTAGATCCTGAACGGCTCCTGACAGCTGTGATGTCAGTATGATGTCACTGTGAGTGTTCGCTGTTGTTCATCTGTCCACACTGATCAGCTGATTCAGTCTGTGACATGTTGATGACATCATTATTAAACATATGACACGTGTGCTCAAAACCAACCTGACACTTCATGATCCTCCGACTCAACCTGACCATCAAACATCTGCATCAACAGCTGCCTCCAGATCCTGTACTCAAGTAGAGTACTAAGATTACTGTGTAGAAATACTCAGTTACTCAGTTACATGCCAGAGTCCTGAACATGATCAGAAACATTCAAATATGAGAGGTTCAGTTATCCTCTGCTGAAAATAAAACTCAAACATGTTCACATTAATTATAAAACAATTTAAATGCTGATTCATTTTCTGTCACTTTGTTAATTTTGATTCATCAGCTGAAGTTTTAATTTATTATATAAACTGTTTTTATGTTAAGATCTTCACGTATCACATGAATGTACCGCAGTGACAAGTTCACACTGGACCTGGGGAGAGGACACATTTGACTGTCAGAGCCGTGTTCAAACAGCTGATGGTGTCAGAGGAGGATCATGGGTCATATTTCCCATGAGTCTTTGCTGTGAGTCACAGTGAGAAACTAAAATAAGACGATAGGACTGAAAATAGAGAAAAAGATGAAGTGGACACTCAGAGTCACCACTGGGAGACAGACTGAAGGGGACATGTGGACACTCAGTAGTCACCACTGAGGGACAGGCTGAAGGGGACATGTGGACACTCAGTAGTCACCACTGAGGGACAGGCTGAAGGGGACATGTGGACACTCAGTAGTCACCACTGGGAGACAGACTGAAGGGGACATGTGGACACTCAGTAGTCACCACCGAGGGACACACTGAAGGGGACATGTGGACACTGCTGTTTCCTCTCCCCTCACTTGGTTTCCTGGCGTCCTTGGTGGGAGGGACTAAGACGTCAGGAAAAGACACAAGTGAAGGAAACAATGAGACAATTTCAGAGACCTGGGACACACCTACTCTGTCTCCTTAAGCCCCGCCCCCCGAAAAAGTCCAGTCAGCCCTGATTGGTCAGTGTTTATCTTCATGTCTCTGCAGCTGTGACAGAGAACATGTAACACAGGCAGACACATTCCAGCAGGAGGATCATCAGAGATCACCCTCAACGAGATGTCTCCAGCAATGTTAGCATGTAGCTACATGTAGCAGTGTGTGATGTAATGTTCCCCTGATGGTAACATGTAGCTACATGTAGCAGTGTATGTAATGTAATGTTTCCCTGATCTTAGCATGTAGCTACATGTAGCAGTGTATGTAATGTAATGTTTCCCTGATGTTAGCATGTAGCTACATGTAGCAGTGTGTGATGTAATGTTCCCCTGATGTTAGCATGTAGCTACATGTAGCAGTGTGTGATGTAATGTTCCCCTGATTTTAGCATGTAGCTACACGTAGCAGATGACTGTATAAAGAAATCTGTCATTGCTAACTGAGTATTTGGAACCATCTTATTTATTTATTTTTACCGTTAACATACATTTTTATTTTGTGTTGTTATTCATAGAGACTTTTTATGTTTCATTTTCTTAAGTTTTTTCTCCAAACAGAGCTAAAAACTGGCGGCTCAGGATGCTTCCTCTCTCCATATAAGGCAGTGGGCATGTCCTCCTCCTGGTGTTCCTCCTCTCTCCATATAAGGCAGTGGGCATGTCCTCCTCCTGGTGTTCCTCCTCTCTCCATATAAGGCAGTGTGTGTTTCTGTGTGTGTGTTATAAATGTGTGTGTGTGTGTGTTCCTCAGTCTCAGTCTGAACTGAATCATCGTCTGTCAGCGTCCTCACGGTGAGTGCATTCATGTTTTCATCAACGTATGCTGTAAAGCCCTATGAGGCAAACTGTGATTTGTGATATTGGGCTTTATAAATAAAATTGATTGAAATTGATTGAACACTGTGTGACAGGGTGATTATCGTTATTACTGTTGTTGTTGTTGTTGTTGTTGTCCTGTCTGAGCTCTGAGGGATATTTCAGGTAGGAGGTTCAACAAACTCTGAGTCTAACCCTGAACTCTGTGTTGATTTAGCCTGAGATGAAAATCTGTGAGTTACCGGTTCCAGAACAGTTGATTTGAGTTAGTTCAGCCAACTCTGAGTATGTTCACTCTGAGACTGCGGTCGGAAAGTCCCTCCTATCGTCTATTCCTATCCTATCCTATTCATAAGGACCTAGGAAAAGAGAACCGCAGAGCTGAGAAAATCCAACCACACTTACGCTGGGCTACGTCATCATGCAACGGCGGACGTCGGTGACGTAGTTCGACCGTGGTGAAACTACACTTTAGTTTAGATGGACTACAAAAAGCGCATCTCAGATACTCCGCCCCGTGCCTGCTTACCATGTTGCTTCATGCAGGCTATATAAACATGGACAGCACAGTGAAAAATATGACTTAATTACCAACGTCTGAATTGAATTAAAAAAGATAGATAGGCAGTCACAAAACTGAAACGCTGAAAATGGTTGCTCACACTCACCCTCCTGAAACATTGTGATTATTTATGACAAATGTTCAAGTGTATGCAAGAGAGGCAAATATGTTAGGCTTACAAATCTACTACTGTACATATCATTCTTACGTTGCAAACATGTTGAATTAAAAACATCATCTAAAAAACATTTCATATCCCTTTTTCTTGAAACACAAACTTCTGTGTTAACATGCCAATC